GTTCGGTGGTAGTCGTTCGAGTCTACAATATTCCTTAGTGTAAGATGAAACAAGCAAACACCACAAGAGATAATTTTTAACGATAACAATCTGTTTTTTTTAAGTGTGTTTAGCGGAGTAATGCTAGAAGGCATATTTTTCAATAAAGGATCATGTGTAAAGGATCATGTGTAAAGGATCATGTGTCACGCCCAAGGCATATGTCGACCAAGGTCGACGACCTCTGAAAACTTTTATTTATTTATTTGCTTAGGATTGTAACTTATTTGCTTGCCTAATGTCAATAGTGCCAGTGACAAACATTTAGCCCTAAATTTCCCCGATTGTTAAATGCGGCTTTTTTTATTATAATCTGTTCTTTTTAAGTGGGTTCTAAAGTATTGCAATTAGGCCATACCTTTTTTAGCTTTGAGAAAGGTGTATCAGTCGGGTACAATGGCTTCTTGTTTCCCCGCCTCTATCTACATACACAAGGATACTTTGTTTATGAAAAATACCTTGGAAAAGTATGGGCGAATTATTGCGTTGTTGCATACACTATTGTACACTATTCATTCGTATAGCTATATAGGCAGTAGCAGTGTCAAGCATTAGAATTCCACATTTCATACAATTGAATTTTTCCCAGATGGGAAACGAAACAGGCGAACATCACACGGGCAATCCTACTCAAATTGTTTTGATGAAACAGCTAATTGCACGATAACAATCTGTCAAAGCACTTTTGACTGTATCAAAAAGTGTAAAAACAGTTGTTTCATTCAATGTATTATTATTACTTTTTTGGCAGGGCGGGGGGAGGTGGGAGTTTTGTGTTACTTTTGATTGACAAGTTGAGCACGGTTTCACATGAACATGGCGTAGTATATCCGCCCTGTGATGTACTGAGTACCGTTGACTCGGCAGTTGACTATTCCTTATCATCGCGAGGTCTACAAGTTTACACTATAAAACTTTCGAAGTTTTCTTTTTTTCTTTCAGGTTGGAAGTACTGATTAATTCAACGACGATGAGTTCTCCTCCAAGTCCTTCTGGTGGTGCCACTGAATATATCAGCGAAAGCGAACGAAGCGAACGAAGCGTAAGTCTTCAGTAAACAGTGTGAACAGTCAACTTGCTCGCCGGCTTCGAATTTCCTGGGAGTTTGTCCCCTGTAGATAGCTACAGTCTCAGACGAAAATAGTTTGGACACTTAGACCAAACGCTGTTTTTTTTCCTTCTCGTGCTCTCCTTGTCCCTGTCAAAGTTGTTTATCGCGGTTCAGTCACCAAAACTTGTACACCAACACTGAGGGGACAAGGAGACACAACATTGACTGAGACTGTAGCTTGTACGCCTACGGGACCCTTTATGTTGCATAGTTAGTATTGGCTTTAAGTCTAGTTTGAATTTATCATCCAATATTGTAACCACAGAAATTAATAAATCAGGCGCTTACAACTCATTTTTTTTCTTGACAGAGGGCAGATGATGATATCTCTCTGAATAGCTGGGAACGGTCACCATCAGAGGGAGAAGAGGGAGAAGTCGAAATGGACCACGACCTCGACTTGGTTAGAATTTTTTCTTCACTTGTAAAATTTAGTTCGTAAGCGTTGCTTGAACATGCATAAAGACGTCTTATATTGCAAGTTTCACGGGCGCATTTCGGAAATCATGACTCCCTCGCTATCTCACAAATTATCTCACATGGATATTTTCTGGAACTACACATTAAGATTCTTAACCGTAAATATATCGTTGTATAGGCTTCTCCTGATTTCGACTTACTGGATAATCTGAGGAGTTACCTCCATGGACCAACTAGCCCCGATGAAACTGTAAGTGGAAACTCTATTGTGTATGATTTGTGTATGCAGAAGAGTGGTCGCCGATCCTCAATTTCCTTTGTCTCCCAGCCCTAATTCATGAATAATCAAGATGAGGAGACAGGAAATTAAAAATCAACCAAGGCTGAATACATTCACCAAAGTTTAATTTTGAGCTGTAAAATTTATCCTTTGCAGTCAGAATATGATGTCAGGTTGGACCAGCCTGTGGAGGATACATCTAGCAGTGAGGTAAGTGCAGTGAGGTTCACGTCTTACCTTTTTGTGGTAATAAATTTAATTAGAAGAAGTTAAAGTTGTCGTAATTCTAAAAAAGTGTCTACTGTTCAAGCCCTCAGGCCTTCCAACACACTAATCTTTGGGTGACATGTGGTTTCACTGGCTTTATGAGGCCTTTTCTAGTGTTCATGTTGATTTTCATCAGTCTCCCCTTCCAATATAACCGCCCCTTTTTTCAGCCACAATTCTAATTAAGTAATTAGACCAATGTCCAACAGTGTAATCATGGCATTATTTTCTTTCACGGGTTCAGTAAAGCTTAGCAGGGTTCTCATAATTTTAAAGAATTCTAGAAACAATATTAGTAATATTATACATGTATGAAGAACTTAGGAGAATATTTTGAAGGAAAGTCTCGGATCATGATGAATAAACAACCGTCATAGACTACCGAAAGTTAGCTGTAGAATTCGATCAGCTTCGTAACCGGGAGAATATATCCTCCTTTATAACATGTGTATAACCTATTGCAGGCATAAATAGAGAACATACTGCAGTAAAGACATATTCAACACAATTAAGGAGTGTGATTTTTTTTTTTGCTATATTCAGACCACATATACTTGCCTTCTTTAGGGTGAATGGCCTAAAAACGCGTATATATGTTGTGGTTTTATTTTATCCTTGGTTTAAATTTCTTTTCTTTTGTTTTAAAATCATTATCATACATTACCATACCCAAAAACAAAAGATAATAAAATTTAAACCAAAGATAAAATTAAACCACAACATATATAATAGTTTGAAATTAAATGTCTTGTCATTTATTCCAAAAGGTCCTGTCTTTCACAAGAAACTTAGCACACCGGGTTAGGGAAAGTTTTTCAGGTATTTCTTCAGGGTTGCAAAGCGCAGGTGATGTCCACTCAGTTCTGTCGGAAGATGAAAGCAGCCCTGGCCATAGCAGGTCAACCCAACCTCAAAACATGTACAGCTTAAATGTTGTCCTGCTGGACCCTGGCGTTGACAGCATTCCTCGGCGGAAAAACCGAGATGCACTTCGACAGGATGGTCGTATTGTTGAGATTTCATTACCACGTGGGGCACAGGGACCAGAAGCACAGAAAAAACTGACCAGTGCCTTTCCCCACATCAGAGCCAAAGCGAGGTTGGTGGTATCCTATTCAATGTACTTAATTACGTCAAGTAGTTTATGCTAATGCTAATGCCGTTGTAGATAAAAGGTCAATTTCTTTCGATAGTTAAGAACTACAATGTGTATATAGTAATATACATGGAAACTTTGCAGTCATAACCTGTATTCATCAGATTTTCTTCATAATATTACCTAGACAATCTCATGGTTATGGCAATCCACCATTTCAAGTTTTGGTCACCGACAAATCTGCCCGAAATAATCTGGTGCCTGCTAATCCCTCATCACATGGATTTACAGCAAGGGAACTCCACAAAGTTGCTGGACAAGGCTCCCTTTATTTACGCCTCTTTGAAGATCCCACCACATCGGTATTATTTCACTCTTTTCTTACCTTACAAAAAGAACATGTATTGACGGGAGCTAAATAAAAACAAAAACAACTTACTATAACTGTAATTCTAGGGGGTGGAAATAATTTGACAGGACAAAGTCTACCTTTGACTGACATTGTCTGTTGATTAAACATCACTTCAAGAACTGGTAATTACGTCTAGTTCTACACATTTTAATACCAGTGAATGATGTAGTTGCAAACTATATGCATGCACAACACCAATTCAGTAGCAAACACATTTACTTGTCTTATACCAACTAATTAAACTTAATAATTCTATAATTTATTGACTATTAATCTGTTGTGAACTGTATCTTTCCAGTGGCAAGTCAATAATTGACTGTTTGATACTGCTGACAATTTTGATGTCTTTCAGAGACCATCTCATCGCACTCAGTCGAGAGTAAATAGCACAACCTCAGGAAGTGGTACATTTAAAGACAGTTCATTAGTAGCAAGAGGTTTGATGAGGGCCTCAACTCGCACTTCAGCAACTGCCACTGCTACAAGAAGTGTTAGGTCCCCACTAGCTATTTCAACTTCCACCCATACAGTGACAACAACAACATCGGTTTTGGGCACCAGGGTCTCTTCAAGATCAGGTGGAACCTCATTAGTGGCAAGGGGTATGGAGACAGCTCCCACACACGCTTCAGTGAATGCCACAGGGACAGGAAGGGATCAGAGCAACAGGGTGAGGTCTCCACCACCTGTATCAACCTCCACTCGTACCTCTGCAACTGATACAGGGAGGGGAAGGGATCGGAGCAACAGGGCGAGGTCTCCACCACCTGTATCAACCTCCACTCGTACCTCTGCAACTGATACAGGGAGGGGAAGGGATCGGAGCAACAGGGCGAGGTCTCCACCACCTGTATCAACCTCCACTCGTACCTCTACAACTGATACAGGGAGGGGAAGGGATCGGAGCAGCAGGGCGAGGTCTCCACCACCTGTATCAACCTCCACTCGTACCTCTACAACTGATACAGGGACGGGAAGGGATCGGAGCAACAGGGCGAGGTCTCCACCACCTGTATCAACCTCCACTCGTACCTCTACAACTGATACAGGGACGGGAAGGGATCGGAGCAACAGGGCGAGGTCTCCACCACCTGTATCAACCTCCACTCGTACCTCTGCAACTGATACAGGGAGGGGAAGGGATCGGAGCAACAGGGCGAGGTCTCCACCACCTGTATCAACCTCCACTCGTACCTCTGCAACTGATACAGGGAGGGGAAGGGATCAGAGCTACAGGGCGGGGTCTCCATCACCTGTATCAACCTCCACTCGTATCTCTGCAACTGATACAGGGACGGGAAGGGACCGGAGCAGCAGGGCGAGGTCTCCACCACCTGTATCAACCTCCACTCGTACTTCTGCAACTGATACAGGGATGGAAAGGGACTGGAGCAACAGGGTGAGGTCTCCACCCGCTGTTTCGACCTCCACTCATACCTCTGCAACAAGCACGGAAACCTTGATTGTGGGTGGTCGTAGCACTGTTTCAACCTCCACTAGTACCGTGGCAACTGCCACCGCAACAAGAGAGTACCTTTCAATCACGGGGGGGTCTAGATCTCTAACCAGTCATACCTCTGTAACAAGCACGGGGACCAGAAGTGACCAGGGTAGTACCAGTAGGTCTCCACTAGCCATTTCAACCTCCTCTCATACCTCTGAAATAGTCACAGGGACATCAAGTGGCCATGTTGCCTCTGCACCTGACACATTTGGTGCTGATGCTGGTTTAACTAGCATGGTGGCAACTCCAACCACCACTGTTGCAACAAGTACCATTAGTACTAGCAGCAGACTAATTAATCCAGCATCAGCCAGCACTGTTGTTAGCTCAGAGGCTAGACATGGAAATGTTACAAGTACCCCAACAAGCAACATCTTCTCCAGCACAGTAACATCTGTGAATAGACCTGGGCGTCTTGGTGTGCATATCTCTCCTACTGCAGTTTTTGGTGCTGATGCTAGGAGACGTAGCAATGAATCTTCCACTGCAACACCATCTACAGCTCTGTCTTTGGAAGATGGGGAGAATACCTTAGCAGATAGAGGGCGAAGATGGCGTGCTACACTTCCAGCCATTTCAGCTGATATTGAGAGTGTCGCTGATGGCACTGGACTTAGCATAGATAGAAATGGATCCAACAGTGCACTCTCAGTGAGTTCAGGTTCAGCTTCAGGTATGTTGTAAGTGAAAATGTGGGATTTTGATATAAATCTTTTCCAACAGATAAAATACCGATGGCTGTGACCATAAAAGTGTCTTTTTCATAGGGAGCTCTTGTGACGTGGCCCCGAGAGACAGAAAGAGTACTACAATAATTATTATGAGTTTTATTTCCTTTATTCTATTAAGAATATTGGAAGCATACCATTAAGTGAAATTGAAAATTATATTCTTTCTCGAGATAAGTGAGTAGTGAATAAGATAATTGTGAAAAATACCAGAAGCAAAGGAGGTCTGTTTTTTTTTTTTAAAAAAAACATATCAATTGAAAATTCTGTAAAATCTGAACTTTTGGTAATGTCAATATAGACGTCAGTTTGCCGGACTCGCAATGGTGTCTAGCAGTATGATTACTATTTAAAGTATGTTGAGAATATAATGTTAAAGGCTATGTATTTGCCTGTGATTAAGATAAACATAAATAATATCTTGCAGATTTTCATTCAAGTGCTTCAGTCACTATTACTACAGCAGGCATTTCCAGACTGTCAGTAACAGCACCAAGTGCACCGGCTACAGGTTATGTGGTATTCCTTTTCTTTAAAAAAAAAAAAGAAAAAGAGAGTTGAAGTTTTTTATAATCGTGCATTAGAAATGTGTCTGAATGAATGGCTTTATTTAGGCATAAAATTTCAACTTTATCAGATTGATTAGCAGCAAACATCCATGTACAACAAAATAATTTAATATTAAAATAATAGAATAAGTATTAATAAATAATAAAATTAATTTCTGCAGTCAAGAAACTTGATACAAATCCCTTTTAAAAAATGTTTGATTATTTTCTTGTGAATAGGTGTCATCGAATTACCAGAGGCTAGTGTTTTACTTGATCTAATACCTGAAAATCAGGGTAAGTAGAAAGTTAAAATAAAACCCACTTTTCACGTTAACAGGTCACATTGGTTTGAACTTAACCATTCTTTGATATCATTCCATCCCATTTTCTATTAATCACAACATGTTTAACAGACATGCCGTATTATAATCATCAGCTGGAAGATGTACTGTAAACACGTCTTTACTACTAGTCGAATAGTTTTGGAGGTTCTGTTTTCATTTACAAAAATTATTTCAATTTGTTGTTATGCAGGTCACGTACTAAGTCCGTTGGAGTCATCTATTCGAATGACACATTATCCAAGTCTGCCTTTCAGTCATCCATGTACCTTCCATACGGTAATTGTTATTTTTGTGGTTGCTATTAGTGTTGTTGTTGTTGGTATTTTAATTTTTTATTACTACTATTATTGTTTGTTGTTTCTTAAGGTTTCATTATGTGTACAGATCCACTTTATACATATATTTACTGCATTTTATTTTTAGCTTATGGAAATGTCAAGATTGGATGGAGAATTGGGTAGACCTGCGCTTGTGTGTATTTGTAGTGAACGTCAGTGGCTTCTTTGGAGGTATTGTAGATGCCTTGCTTTTATGTCTTAACCATTTTGGAAATTTATATCTCCCCAAACATTGTCTTTGTTAATTAAAACTGGCTGTAAGACTGAGGTCTATTTGTACTTATTTAAATAGCTGTGGTTGTTGATTGTGTGAATAGATTTCAGTAATGGATCACAACCAGATCAGAGTACAAGTCTGATGACAATGAATGTATAAAATATGTCCAATGTGCTTCTATGCATAAATTTTGATCTTTCAGGCCCATTTTTGAGAACAGTGAGATTGCTAAGCTGGTGAATGAAAACTTTATATTTTGGGTCCAACCGTCAGATCATGGAGCTGAAGGAAAGGAAGGTATATTTTCCTCCTCAAATAATCGCCGTCCCTTGAATGATCGTGCACTTTTGGTGCAAAAAAAGAGCCCCTGGCTAATTATTGAAGGATATACAGTATAAATTAAGATATTTATGGGTAACATGTAACACGCAAAATTTATTAATAGATGATAGCACCTCTGTGCATACGTATTCAGATCAATTAAGTCATTTCAGTGAATGATGGAAAAAATCAATGGTCAGTAGAACTTTTGCAATAAGATGCATGCTTCTCTTTCATCAGGATTAGCTGCTATAAATCAGCCCAACAATAATACTGGGATTGTAGCTATCGTATGCTCAAGAGCAGTTGGTGAAATTAAAGTCTTGCTAAAGGTTACAGGTAAGAACTTCACAAGTCATTTATTACAGTATGTTACCAAATGAAATGTAGGATGTTTTATTTAAAACATAGTAGAAGAGACTGCTTGTGAAGGCCAGCAAGCATCAAAGTTGAAATTGATGCAATGCCGTGGTTGATGTTGCAAGCTCCCTCACTATGCCTGATCCCATGATTTTTGTTCACAAATTGCGACTGAATAAAGTAATGGGATGTTTCTATTACAAAATCAGTACAAAAGTATAGTACAGTATTGCTATTGTGCACAGTAGGTCCAGAAACAAACACTTGACATGCAGAACCCTGTGGCCAGTAGAGCCTGGAAGTGTTGATTCATGTCTATCCAGTATGGAACATTTGTATTCATATCTCACGGCATGTCTTACAGTGACGCTTACAAGCTCCATTACACAAGCAAATGAATGTGACTACTTTCTTAATCTAACTTGTGTACATTGTGCTCTGCAGAATAAAACCTTAATGACTTAATACAAAAATAATCAAGACATGGATTTTATTTTGTGTCACCATACACACCTTAGTCCGAAACAAAATTCCAATAATACTTGCAGGTTCAATTACAAAAACGTACAGATATGAATAACCTTTTTATATTACTCTTCCCCTAATGAATTTTGAAATTGAAACATAATTATAGTGTTTTTTCTAGGTCCACAGAGTGTTGCTGAATTGAAAAGAATCCTCAATGAAGCATTAAGAAAATTTAAAGAGCAGAGAAATGAATTGTAAGTAATTATTATGGACACAGAAAAACATACTTATTAAAAACATAGTTATTATAACATGATTATTATGGTTATACTTCATTAGGATGGCATTACAAAGAGAGAGAGAATTAAAAAGGCAGCAAGATCTTGAGTACGAGGCTTCTCAGAAAGCTGACATGGAGAAGGTACATAAAAAACAATATAGAAAAAGAAAGAGAATGACTTTTTAAAGTCTTCAGCCCCAAATTTAATTAGTTAATTTAAAATAAATGTTAATTGTATAATAGGAACAAAGGAAGAGAAATTCCAAGGCATGTCAGTGCGGCCAAGAACCCAAAGAGGTACATTAAATTAGTTACATAACTCTAAGCTTATAATTAATTTATAAATTAGTCACATGACTCTGTACAAGACAGATGTGCATTCTAATAACAATAATTAATTAATTTAATTAAAAAAAATCTCTTTTGTCTGATATTGTTGTCCAAGGAGAGACACCAAATCAACACAAGTAGTCAAATAATAGGCATTATTCAAATTACTTAAAACTGATCGTGTACTTTGGGCTAAAAGAATAAGATGGAAAAATACTCGCTTTGGCTACCAGCTGGATAAAGGTTGTTGCAACAGACTATGTTTACAGACTGTCATAATAAAGGCTGTTGAAGGGTTCCGCTTATAAGTCGACTCTTAGCTTCATTGCTCTAGGGGTGTGTTCCTGATGAAGTGATGAATCCTTGCCCAGAGTCGATTCTGAGTTTGATAATTTGATCTACCGTGCTCTGAGTGATCTGGGATCACTGATCCTGATGTGGATCATCTTAATCAAAGGAATGCACCCTAGTTGTATTCCTTACTGAAATAATTAATGTGCTTTAAATTATAAGTATCAATAACACTATTCAATTTTTATTTGTAATAGGTCCCAGTCGAAGAAGAAAAGACAGATGAACCACCCCCAAAGAGGTTGAAGTCAAGTGAATTAAAGCGTCTCATTGTTGTTTTACCAGATGGGAAACGACATCAGATGGATGTAGCATCGAATAGCACATTAATGGTAAGTAAAGAAGCAGAGGTAACCAAGATTTTCATACTTTCTCTTGTTTGTGTACATAAAAAAGTATGCACCTTACCTTTCCTTATTAACAAGATGTTTAATCCAGGTAAATTAGGAATTGTCTGAACCCTTCTTGAGCTATTTTTCAAAAACCCATGATAAAAAAATGTAAAAAAATTAAAATTATACTATTAAAAATTCAAAATTTAAATTTCTGCCAAAATATAATTATTACTAATGAATTATACTCCTTTTTCCATCATAGGAACTTTATGAACAAGTAAACAATCTACTGCCTGAGGGATCTGAACCTATCATTTTATCTTATCAGCTGGAAGGAGGACTTTGGAGAAAGTTGCCCAAGCATACCATGACAGTCGACGAATTTGGTGTGGTAGAAAATGTGATTTTGAGAGCGAGTAACTCATATGAAAGCGATACAGCATCTTGAATGTTTGGCCAATTAATCAGCATGTCCTTTCCTTTCCTCTATGTACATCTACCCTCTATTAATGCAGCTATAATAATAATGAATAATATTAATCAAAGATATTATAGGGTATGTGTGACATGCTGACTCCTGAAGTGCACCCTAAGTGCTTGCAGTCGAGTAATGCAGCCAACACTATCCTGTGGATATGTGCCACATGCTGACTCCTTAAAAGCACCTGAAAGTGAATTAAGTTGAGAACTGCAGCATTAACTGTCCAAAGTATACAAGGTATCATAAGAATCCTGGCAACAAAGAACTGAGGTGGTGACTCAGTGAAACCCTCCTGCATGTCTTAAAGTGCTACTCACATTAATGAAGGCTATACACTTCTTAATTCAGTTGAGTAGCATACAAGAGATATCCATGGTTGGTTACACCGTGGATGTTTCCATTAAGACATTGAAAAGGATAATACCCTCTGCTAAAGAGGGGGGGACCAGGAAACCAACCTCTACGTACACACTAGTTGATTAGGGTAATGAAGAAAACATGCAAAAATATTAATTGAGAGCAAGGTCAAAGTGAAACATCTGACATTTACTGTAACAAGCCATTATTAGAAGTGTCTCTCATTATCTCAGGGGCGCCCAACGACAATTTTCGGAAAATATCTGTTTGGAAGACGATTTGAGATCTAGAAATTTTGGAACATTATTTTGTTGTAAAATATCTTGCTTGCCTGCCTCTCCTAAGGTTTTTCGAACATATAAAAAATGGTAGAATTGCCCATTTTCAATGGATTTTAACTCTCAAAAGGTCACCTAGAATTTTCGGGAGACTTTCTTCTGGCTGAAATTTTCGAAAAGGTAAGTTTTGATCCCTTACTTTTTGATTCACTAAACTTGCAGCAAGGATATCCGAAGAGATGAAAATTTTTAGGGGATAAAAAAATGCCTATATTTACCGTTTAAATACAAAAATACGTTTAACAATGCTATGTTTAAGTGGTTTTGAACTATATTCTCACTGGGTGCCCCTGTCATCTAGGAAACGTAAATGTGTTAGAAGACAGACAACATTATTTATTTATATCTGGTTTACCTAAACAGGACAATATTGGTGGAGGCTATCATGGATGGAATTGCAGCGAGTTATATCAAGACACCGAAAGACAGATTAGGGTTGTCCAGGGTAATTAATCCTTGGGTAGCACTAATAATTGATTCCATGAAATACTATAAACCCCGGTGGGCATTCTGTGAGCTACAAGTACTGAATTCAGCATAGTTAGCATTTAGATATCCCTTAAGGAGGCTACAAGGATTAACTTCTGCAGGATATTATTGAGTAGGCAGATATATGGTCATTGGACTTGATGAGATGACCTCAGTGAAGTGACCACCTATCCTGATGACCAAATATTTGTTCATAAAATTACAGTCTCTTGCAAATGGCGGCGACTATTTTATCCATAAACACTTTTTGGAATGAAGATATTATTATTATTATTATTTATTATTTAACCTCCTGTAAAAAATCACTGGACATTTGGTCTCTTTGTTAACTGTATGTACTAAGCCTTTCAGAATAGTAAGAATTTTAAGTGATATGGAATTGCTCATAATGTGGAATAAAAACAGCTCTGTTAGTTAAGTCTGCTTTTGATAAAACATGGCCACTGGGGCCCCAGGCCAGTGCGGTGTCCAAAGGAGTAGGCGGCTTGCCATCTTGGTCACCATAGCTGGATAACTCAGGGACCAGCCTAAAAGTGGGTCGGTGGATCGGGCCTGGGGGCGGGGGGCGAGGGGGTTGGCAGAGCTACTGTGGTTAGGAGGGGGCTAATTTGACCCAACCCCTTCAGTAAGCAGTAGTGTTCACTAGAGGCTTTGATTGGAAAGCACTTTTTCTTACTTTGCCCTAGCCAGCTGAATCAGGCATCTGCTGAGAATAATTATCATGATAATTGCAGAGTCCATTGATAGGACAGGGGATAATAATATTTTATGGACCAGTTTATTTGGAAGTTTCCCACTTTTAAATAATGCATTAAAAAAAGGGAAAATTTTGAATGTCAGAAGCTTATTCGTCTAAACCCTGTGTTTTCCACAATACCTTGCTTATTTCTATAATGAATTCATACTTGACAACATTAAGGAGACCAGAAACAATCAGTTCAGCAGTTACCCACTCAAATAGTTAATAGTAGCTACAATGAGGGACAAAAGTGTTGACACACTTCCATAAAATGGCCCCCTTTTGCATAGTGGATATACTTATCTCCTTCCCCTGTCTACCCCAACCCCTTCCCCCAAAATCAATGTTGAATTTTGGACCCTCAAGTCTTTTTTCTACTTCAGACAACATTGATTCGGGGGGTGAGGGGATTTACAGCGTTTAAAAAGAATGAAATAATAAATGAATGAAATGTTTGTTAAAAGCACCCGTTTTAAACAAGTGTGTCAACTACTTTTGTCCCTGATTGTAGTTTCCATAGTGATGACATCGAGGATCCTGCAACCCCAAATCATATTCCTCTTTTCTGACGTTTAACATTGAGTCAATAATTATTATTCAACTTTGCCTCCATCTTGTGTTGAAAATTTATATTATATACACTATTATATACCTCTTATGCATTACGCTCCAGTGAGCAAACATAAAGAAAGGAGGACAAGGGCCAGGTTGAAAAATTCATACAAATCAATGTATTTTGTCCACCCGAGCCTCGAGTTGGTGACTTTGTTTAAAGGCGCGATAAGTATTGTAAGTAATAATCCATACGAAGTGCTGGTATCAAAGGGCGCAGCTGGCTAATTGGTGAACAAAAGTCAAGGTCAAAAAAGGGAGCTAATAACATTATTTCACAAAAAATATTCTTCGTTTTGCTATAATTTATTTTATCTATGTTTCGATGTACATTGTAATAACAAGAAAATGGTCAGCAATTTCAGACAAAAAAATGGAATAAAAAATAGTACAGAAATGCACAAAGGCATTCTGGACTGATTATTATATAGAAAAATCTCTGAATCCAGGTAAATGAATTTTTTTTTTTTTACCCTTGTTATTTTTCAATTTTCATCAATAACAGTATCATATAATATAACTGTACTAACATTACCAAACTGTTGTAGTGAGGATACAGACACCGATTACAACACCAAACCATTATATTGACTCAGTACCACCCATTCTATTTTCATGAGCCACACAATTGCATCAAACTGAAATGGAAGGGGCCGGGAAATTATAACACTAAGAGAATTTACCTGCAATGACATTTTTCATAACTTTTTTTTTTAAACCTGTCTCAATCAATAGAGATACACCAGCAAAAGCATAACCCCTTATATCACATTAATGAAAAAAAACATTTGGAAAACTTTTGAGTAGTTGACACAACAAACGTCAGGAATTTCAAATCTGCATTAATTCACGCATCAGAGCTTGCTGACTCTTTGAATAAAAAAAAAAGCTTTTCATTCATCTAGTTAATGTGATAATGGAAGAGGACATCTATGTCTCAACTATATCTTGCATGTGAATTGAATGCAAACTAGGCATGAAGGAATGCAGAGATGAACTTGAAATCATTGATGGAATCTTGGAGTTACAATTAAAATGGCTTAACTTGATAATTAGTGAACAACAATAATTAAAGAGTTAAAGTAAAGGAAGATCAAATTTACACAACTTAGAGAAAGGAAATAAGCCCTAAAAATGTCACTCACTAAAAAGGTAAAGGTAAAAACCATTGTCTCAGTGTTCTTTCCAGAAAATCCAGACATGTAGTATAGCATGGTAGAAATTGATGATAGTTATTGAGCAAATATAATCACCGAAGAATTGAAGCTATACCTCAAATCACTGAAATTGTTTCAATTGGACAAAAGGAAAATCAAAACCATAAAATTTGACTTATATGCGCTCTTATTCTTTAACACAGCAGATTTATGTCTGCCAGTTGTACAGTCGAGACTTCTGCAATACTCAACTGAAGCACAATAAAATCTTTTACTGTGCATAATCAGGAGTCAGAGGTACGTTATTGACTAGTACATGGACAGTGAAAGCTGCAAATGTCTCAACTGATATAACATATTTTAGTTAAACCCAGGAGTCAGCATTGTCCACACATCCACAATATTTACCAATATCTAAACTCCATAATAACCTCTGTGACAGCATCAAAAGGCCGTAGCGTTTTTTTAGAAACCAGAGGCAAAATAACACATTAAAAATTGTCTAACTTGAAAATAAATGTTCATTCCTTGGTTACTATCTTCCACCCCAGGAGGAAATGTTTCATGCAGCACAGTTATAACATGAAGTGGAACATGTAATGAATTTTGTGGCACTTCCACCCCAGATAAATCATCCCCTTGAGGTGTAGGTGCATTGGGGTCATCTCCATACATATTAAGATCTTCAGGTAATGAATTGTCTATGATCCCTCGAACACCAGAGTAATTGGACGAATGATGCTGCAGAATTCCAGAAATCCATAGCTGATGAGGAGTAAGGCCATGTTCACTAGAAAGTCCATGGTTATTAAAAGTGTCCACAAATTGTGTTAAAGCAGTATTGATCCTTGGCATGTAGACATAATGGAGTGCATAAAGATCAATATCATTGCTGCGAATTAGCAAACCCATTTGTTCCAAATGCAGAAAGACATTTTTGAAGGAGAACAATATACAGTGAACCACTTCACGCCATAACCTCTCAATCCTTGTGTTGTGAACACTTGGTCCTGTGATAAAACTACCACGACTTTCCCCCCTATAATGAACCATAACATCTCCTACAGCAACATTTTCTCCACCATCATCTGCTCTTACCCGGGAAGGCAAACCCCATATATTTATTGATTCGCGGAACAATGAAAGCACTGTAGCAGCTCTATTGTTGTTACTGCATCTGAGGTAAACAATCAGCCTGGAATAACCATCAATACCTCCATGAATTACAAAACGCCAGTGCCGTAACTTTAAATTACTGTCAATGTGCCATAGGAAATTGGGATGTGGAACTCGGTATGGCCTTCGAGGAATTTGCTGAGCCCAGCGGCAGGCTCTGCCTATTGGATCCAGATTGATCAGGGCATCACGCACCCTCCAGCGCTGGACCCATATACCACGCCTTCTGAGAGCCCCTTGCATGTATCGTTCCCCACAACGAGGCATTGAAACAAGTTCTTCTTGTACTATTTGCTGCAAGTCAATATCTGGAATGTGTGAATATGTCACAAAGGAATGGGGAATCTCTAACTCATTGACCCTTCTGTGGATAGTCCATCGTGATACTCCCAGAATGCTAGCAATGGTGCTCCACGAAAAGAAACATGACCGCAAGAGCATCAACTGTTCCCTGGAAATTTCATAAGCAGGACGGCCCACAGAACCAGTGTGCCTAACAGGTGCTCTATAGCATGACCTAGGAGAGAATACTGGTAATTCCTGAAATAACTGCTCAATTACCCTTATGTCCCTTGCGAGATTCCTCAGATCATTCACTTCAGTTGGTGAAAACTGACCCGATCTCTCTACAAAGGAAAGAACTTGTTGCATATGGCGAACTGCACCACCTAACCTAAGGAGTAAAAAATCGGCAGTTTCCCTATCTAAAGGAGAACTACGACACCTATCAACTTCTTGCAACAGTTGTTGAATAGACGATACAAACCGCTGTAGTTGCCTGTTAGCATGTCCACTGTGTGTCATAGAAAACAAAAGAAGCAAAATAAGAAGAAAATATAATTTTTTACAGTCCAGTAGATCGTTTTTACTGTCATACAATAAACACAGCACCAAAAAAATAAACTGGGAAAGATCAAAGTCAAAGTCTCATATCCAATAACATGGCCGCTGGAAAGCAACAAAAACATCTGGAATTTACTTTTTCAATAAAAGCTCTTTCTTTTCTGGAAACTTGTACATAGACCTATCTTTTATTATCTTCAACCTGGTACAGTGTATGTATGAACAAAACAGCGTAAAACCTCGCTTTTTTAACTGCAAGCTTACACTTTGATAGCGTCACTGTGAAAACCATGCAGTACAGTTAAGCTTAATGAAAAATAGAAATAAAAACATACCTTCTCATAAAGCATACAAAAAAGCAAAAAAAGAACATAAAAAAGACTTTCATCGGCTTCATCACTTGAGCGTGACGTGTTTCGTTGCGGAAACAAACAAGCAAAAACCGAAGAACGACACGAACGACCAAAATGAAAATGGCCGACTCGATTTTATGGAGGAGGGGACTTGGGGAGGATTACGAATACCACGTCATATATGAACACATTTTACTTCCATAGTAACACTCATAACGACAACATTTCGAAGGGGTAGAGTTACATTCCGTAGCCATGGAAACCGTCCTTTCGAAAGAGTTACATTTCATTTCGAAAGTATCCCATTACTTTTCGAAAGATATCGTATTGCTTTTCGAACTCATTTCGTTACTTTCCGAACCTATTTCGTTACGTTTTTTATGTTTCGTTACTTTACGAAACGAAATTTTTCGAAAAGGGATTTTGCTACAGATGGCGCGCCATATCCCCTACTTGACGTTATAGCCAGGATTTTCCTGAAAATGACAAGTTCACAGCTTCGTATCAAACAATGAGATATCTCCCCAAAAGCATTATTTATATCAAACGTTGCAAACAACAAAAACGAACTTTGAAAAACCTTTTTTTAAAACAAACAATTATAATCCGTTTCAATCTTCTTCATGTTTGTCCATTCATGCGTCTTTTTGTATTTGCTTTGTTTTCATACCTTATGTTAGTGTTTTGAGGCTTTATTTTATGTTTTACTTACTTTGCTGGCAGCTCTCTCTTTTTGAATTAGAATACATTTCGTGCCACAGCTCCTGTAAGCCAATGTTCAGCCTATAGTTTTCTGGGTAAGTACCCTAGCAAAAAGCTAACCCTATAAAGAAGCTTAATTCAAAGGAGGCTTTTTCTTCCCTCATTCCGGCCTGGCTAAAGGTTTATGCACACTGTTTAGGCCAATAATAATAAATAATAAATATAGTTTATTTCACTTTCTTGCAGTTAAAAAATACTGAATGAACAAGTGATATGTATATGTTGTGGTTCAATTTTATTCTTGGTTTAAATTTTATTTCCCTTTGTTTTTGGGGTATGGGAATGTATGATAATGAGTTAGAAACAAAGGGAAAGAGAATTTAAACCAAGGATAAAATTGAACCATAACATATACAATCCAAAAATACAACGTAACTAAGTTAGGAGTATACAGTTGTACTAGTAATCATGATGTAAAAAATTCGTCGGCTCTCTTAGTTCTTCTTAATTTGTTTATTGTTCTTTCACTACCAGATCTTAAATTATAACGGACAGATCTTCTTTCAGATTTGGGAATGAGGAATGATTATTGTGATTGCTAGCCACATCACAGACAAATCGACGACACAGGGAAACCCTTCTTTTTGCTAGAGATGAGACTTTTGCCTCTAAAAGGGCTTGATTATAGGCTGTGCATTCAGGATATATAATTCTGAGTGCTCTCTTTTGAATACATTCTATCCTATCAGACGTTTTGCGGCTTTAGCAATAATACAGTCTACATGTGAGTTCTATTTAAGATGTTCTCTAATAGGTACTCCGAGTAGTTTGTATGTCTTCACAGTCTCAACTACTTGCTTCCCAATACAAATAGGTCTCATCAGTACAGTGTTAGGATTAGCCATCACCTTACTTTAGCATCGTTGCACATTAATTTCTGTCACGCGTACGTAGAGCCTTTCTACCATGATACGCGCATCAAATGTCGTGGCATTTCCACTCGTAACTGACCCAGGTTAGCCTGAGAAAACAGCCAACATTTCGCGACGCCACGACTGGTTTCCCCTCGAAATGACGTCTGAGAAACGAGAGCAGAAATTCCATACTGATGACGTGTCACTACCCAGATCTGGGTAGTACTCTTCTGATTGGTTAAACATTTGCCTTCACCAATCAGAAGTACTACCAAGATCTGGATAGTGACGAAAATCAAAATCCATCCCCGATGGGACCCGAAGTAGCTCTCTGAACGGTGGTGTACACGTGCAAGTTATGGAGTGAAATACCTTGTACAACACTCGGGGATCGTACAGAGCATCAATTTTCAGAAATTTTCCAGACCTGAAAAAAGTCTCGAAAATGGAGATGAAGTCTGAAAAAATAGTAAAAAAAAATCTTGAGTTTTTTTTTTCAAAGCTACAACAAATAGTGCTTGATGAGTGAAATGTTTTTCGTTTTGGTCAAATCTTCAAGTTATTTAATTTCTCCCGTTTGTTTGCAGCCTATCATGAAAAAATCTTTGTTCCTGCGTTTTTTTAAGGTCCCTGTTGATCACTTACCTATTTGATAATCTTGAGTCTGGAAAAAGAAATTATTGTTTTAGAAAAAAGTCTTGAAAACTCTTAAATTTATTTCCTGGTATCTGCGCAAAGGATGAACGGTAGTTCAAAAAAAAGGATCAGCTAGTGATTTTTGGAAGTAAAGCAGGGGTGGTAAAACGGACCGAAAAGAATTGTTACCATTCCTGCCCCATTGGTTCGTTGGAGAACTTCCGTGCGAACGCAGGCGTATAGAGATTTAGAATCACGTTTACAGTTAACGCCATTTGGAAACATGTTGCTAAGCTTTCTCTTTATTTGTCATTAAATGTTTATCTTTACTACCCCAAAATAAAGACATTCATGTCAGGTTTATCCGTAAGGATAATTTAATTTTCTCAGTTTTTATCTGTTGATTTCCTAACTTGAGTAATTGTAATACTTGAACATGATGTTTCGACTTTGTCGTCAACGTAATTCTACGATTCCGAATCGACGGGAGTGATCGTGGCAGTAACTTTTATGAGACCAAATTTATGGATTCCAGTCGTTGAAAGGAAAGTCGAGAGTTACGGCAAACGGCAAACATTCAGACCCAAGGTGACATTTTCGATTTCTTGAGTTAGGAATGAACAGGTACAAACTTTGCAAAATAATTGTTACGGATTAGACTGATCGACATGAAACTACTAACTTTTTTTGTGTAGATACAACAACTGAATCGGCTTCTGACGAAAACTGCGCAAGGGTGGCGCAGTGGTGAGGGCTCTTGCCTCCCTTCCCCCCGCGGGGGGCGGGGCTACTCCCTATAATGGCCTTTATGGGGAGGCTCCGACCGAAAGGGGTACCTTTTTCATGCTTCAGGTATATGAAAGGATAGGTTTGTTGTTGGTTCTCTTCCTTGCCGATAGGTTTTTCTTAGGGTGCTCTTGTTTTCCCCTCTCTCCAAAAGCCAACCTTTCCAAATTCCAATTCGATCCGCAAGCAACGCACGGACTCGTTTAAGCGAGTTCTTAACAACTTCTAAGTGCTCCGTGGGAAAACAAATTACAGATTACAATTTTAGTTAGTTATTTTTTAAGACTGATGCCTTGGTCACGTATATAAAAATTGACGTTGCCGTTTGACCTGAATGGATTCTAGATCTCTCCGATATTGTAGGAAATATTTTTTGTTAAAGAGAAAATAGATAATTAAGGATAAACACGAATTTGCTATGTCAATACGCTTTATTTTAAGAAACTTGGTGAGATTATTTACAGATTACAATCAAACCTCCATGTGCGACCTTCTCGGATACGCAACATGCTGTTCGAACTACTAAAATTAGTTTTCGTACTCAAAGCACTACTGAAAACTGGACCACCAAATCTTTGCATCATACTCAAAGGAAATACTGGTCTTCTATACTAACATACTAACCTATGCTCAGGCATGAACATTATACAATGAAATAACCTTAAGTTTACAACTGGGCTAGTTTGGAGTTAGGACAAGTTGGTTTCGCAAGGCTTTTATTTGACTAAATTGAGTCGTCAAATCTTATTTCATAATGCAAGGTTGCAAAACTACTGCTTCTATGTTCACAAAAAGATTGGCTCTAAAATATATACAATTCTACTAAACTATAAACCTTGCAATGTTGTTTGCATTGTAATCAAACTTCAATTTGCGATAAAAAAAAAGCTCGTTTACCTAAAAAGTATTTTTTATCTGTAGCCTTAGGGACTAATTAAGGAAGTAGGTGTTTTTGGCAAATTACCTAAAAAGACAGGGAAATTAGCTAATCCTAACGTTATTCGTGTCACAATTACAGTTTTATCATTGTCCGAGCTACCGATGTACACTTCTACATGTACAAAGCTGGTGATTTGAGCTTTTCAAGACATTTTAGAGATTAGAGTACTCAAGGTACCTACACACAGACACAAAATAAGATTAGTGGGAAAAATAATTAAGCCGGCAAAGATAAACCGCTGGGCCAAGCAAGTCAGTTCTCTTTCACAGTAATTCTTTTAATCAATGTTCGTATGCTGCAGAGATTGATCCTTTACATTATCCGCCAGGGACTACCTCATTGGAATTCTGCGGAAGGGCTGTTTCGTTATTCCATGGTGTGTTGTTAGTGTAATACCTGCAACAGTAATGTATAAGAAACATAAAAATTAATAAAACACATCTACTCAACACAAAAGACTCCAGCTGGGCTAAGTGGCATTTAGGTTCATTTTACATGGCGGAGGGATCCTCCGGCTTTATCATGGCGGAAGAGGTTTACTTATTTGAGTTTATCTCACCGCTAAAACTTTCCAATCAATTGGCGTCACAAATGAAATGTAGGGTGCACAGCTAAAATAGGTTTGAAACTTCTTGCCTTGATGACCTATGGAATCTCGGTCTTCCCTCTTTGGTCCAAGTTTAGAACCAGTGTACTTCTGTAATTCAGTCAGTGTCAGCGAAAAGCCCTCTAGTTACGGTCAAGACTCCATACACAGTCCATAATTTGTACTTTGCAGTGTTTTCGATCAATTCTGAGATCTAGATCTCCGCCATAATATTTTTGATCCGATTATCTATATCAAACAAAAACCTTCCCTGGGCTGTTTGGTTCGGATTCATAACTGGAATTCTCTTCCTATTATATTCAGAAAGAAAAAAGTTTGTCAGCAAACCCTCACGATCATATTGAACCGTAGCTAATAAAAGAATATTGAATTATTTGTGCCTAATATATCAGAAAAGAGAGAAAAGAATTAAATCATTCTGTGTTGTTGTAGGGATTCGGGGCTTAGCGCTTTTTTTTTTTTTCAAATGCAAAGCCCCGCATATGTACGGGTTGACTGATAAGTACAGAGGTGTGGTCGAATGTTAAAAAGCGGTTAATTGATATTTTACCTCAGTCATAGTAAAAGCTAA